CTTAACAAATGCTTAATTAATTGAATTAATAGTGAAGTTATGCAAATATAGAAGACCAAAAGCCATTCTCCAATAGATAAGTGGTCAAGGGATATAAACAAATAATTCTCAAAATGACATCAAACTTTTAATAACCATATGAAAGACTGTTCCAAATCATTAATCACAAGAAGAATGTAATTCAAAATAACTTTTGAGATTTCATTTTACACCCAGGAAACTGGCAAAGATGACCTAAGATGCATGTTGGAAGGGTTGTGGAAAAAATAGTGCACTTTGTACCTGGTGGTAAAGCTCTGATGTGGTCCAACAACTCTGGAAAGCAATTTGAAATTATGCTAAGAAATTCATCAGTCAACAAGCATTTACTAAGTGACTAAAATGATCTTTTTCAAAGAGATTCCATGGCTAAGCGCGTATATATATATATGTATGTATATATATATAAAAGTTTTCAGATAAACCAAGTATTTTAACAGTACTTTTTATAGTAGCAAAGTCCTGGAAACAAACTAGATTGTCCCTTGACTGAGGAACAGCTTATGTCTGTAATAGAATTATCATGCTATATGAATATAATGAAATACAGAAAAGTACAGGAAGAACTGAAGCAAAGCAAGTAGAATTGGGAAAACAATACGTACAATGATTACACTAATGTAAATGAAAAACAACAACAAAACAAATAAAACTCAATGCCGATTATGACAAATATAGAGAACCATAAGAACTGATGCAAAGTAAAGCATGAAAAACCAGAACAGTATGTACAGAATGCTACTAAATCATCCCAAAGAAGAGATCTGATTAAACTTTTCTCCATCTTTTTCAGGGTGGGCAGGGGTTTGGGGCAGGTGGGTTTCTACAAGGGTGGAACTCTACATATGAGGTAGACCAACCAACTTGGTTGTTAGTTTTGTTAGTTTTTTTTTCCTTCTTTTTCATTCTTTGTAATAAGGGACAGCTCTCTTAGAAGGATAGATGGGAAAAATATATTGGGAAATGTGGTTGATATAAAAACCGAAGATAGTACCGAAAACATTTTCAAGTACTATATAAGGACCATATAAATATATCCGCCATGGTGGAGTACTCTCCTCTTTTTATTTCCACCTTCTCATTCCCTTCCTTGGCTGGAGCACTCAGAACCCATCAGGTTACTTGAGTATTCACACCTTGGATGAAAGTCACCAAACTATGTTCCTTCCAGTGAGATGATGGACCACTAAGCCTTACCATCTGCTCTTGGCCACTGTCCATTCATAAGGCCTTACTTGAAACAGTACCATCTCTGCCTCCTCTGCCCAAATCAATTATCATCCAATCTGTTTACAATACCTAAATGTTTGCTGACTGACTGATCCTTCAGCCTTGCCATCCACCCTTCTGACATACTCTCAGGACTCCCAGGCCTTTCTATCCTCTCTATAGCCGACTGTATTATATGTGTTATCTCACACAATGAGAGTCTAAGTTCCTTGAGAGCAGAGACAGTAACCATTTTTCTATTTCTATCTCTAGTGCTGCATTCTGATTCACATTCTGATTAATAAATGCTCCTTCATTCATTTGCAATCAACTATTACTATTATGAATTTGTTCATATATTTACTTAAAATAATTTTTGAATTCAGAGTTTTGGATAAGAATATGTTGATTTTCTTCCTGAAGAATCTCATGGACAGAAACTCTAAAATATGTCTTTTAAATTATTGAAAAAAGGCATTTACCCAAAGAACATTTGTAATGGGATGATACTATTTAATGAATGTGCATTTTCATATTTACCCACTAATTCATTTTTTCAAGCAAAACAACTGTCATCCCCAAGTCCTCAACCAGTTGTGCCCCAAATTCTTTGGCAATCATGAAATTTGGGATCACATATTCCTGAACTTTCTCCCCTCTCTTTTCTTCTCTTAAGCAAGCTGCTTCCCCTGACTCCTCTTAATTTTTATTGAATTTGACCATAATCTCTTTTAGTAGCCCTGATATTTACACTCGACAATCTAAACCAAACTTAGTCTCTTTGTTCCAAAACTTGTTCTTCCTCTTGATTTAAGGCAGGCTTCAAATCTCGACTGCCATCTTTGACTCTTCTTTCAAGTCCTACATATTCAATATCTGCAATAACTCACATTTTTTTCCTTGCTTCCTTTCCCATTTTCCACTATCCTATTTTAGGCCTCATTATTGCCTGGAAAAGTATTCTTACTGATTTCTTCACCCCTATTCGTCCTACTCCCCATTCCTTCTTCACAATGACAGATTAATTTCCTTAATTTATAGACACGACCACAGCATTCCACTATTCAAAAACTTTCAATAGCTCACTATTTCCTATACAATTAAGTTCAAATTCCTTAGCCTGGTCAGTAAGTCCACAAGAATTCATTAAATGTCTACACTGTGCTAAGGACTGGGTGTTCAAGGTCCTTTCTCTACAAGCTGTTTTCAATCTACATTTTTGTTTTGTTTTGTTTTAGGCAATTGGGGTTAAGCGACTTGCCCAAGGTCACATAGCTAGTAAGTGTCAAGTGTTTGGTCTGAGGCCGAATTTGAATTCAGGTCCTCCTGACTTCAGGGCAGGTGCTCTATCCACTTCAATCTGCATTTTTGCAGCTTTATCTCATGTTATACCCTTTCTGGCATATCATTCTGTAATCAACCTGAAGCACTTAATTGTTCTAGGAACACATCCTAGGATTTTCTGCCATTGTACTTCACCTGGAGGACCCTACCTATTCATTTCTACTTGTTGAAATTCTACTTACTCTCAGATGACTTACTCAGCTCAGATGCCACTTATGCCCTGAGATTTTCCCTGATCTCTCCAGAATGGAAATATATTCCTCTTCAAAATTCTAATTATATTTGATTCATATCAATATTATCCCTCTTCATCCCTCTGCAGCTGTACTGCCGACTCATCTCCACAGGACTTTCTCTTCCATGCCATAGAAACCTCTTTATCCTGGCCTACTTCTCACACTGGAGGCCTCTGCACCTGTGGCCTCACCATTTGACTGGCTGACTTCTCCTAGAGTCTGCAATTTAAGGAGGTGGCCCAGGCCAGAGATGTCTTCCTCCCTTTGCAGCTACACTGCTGATTCATCTCCACAGGATTTTTTATTCCATGTCCCTGCTCAGAGTCCCTTCTCCATCCCCCACTCACTTTCCAGATTCCATTTGTGTGCTGTCTTCTCTCCTTGGAAAGTAAGATCCTTGAGAATAAATTACTTTCTGCTTTTCCTTGTATTCCCAGAAATTAGTGCAGCGCCTAGCACGTAGTAAGTGCTTAAGAAATGTCTGTTGAAGGCTTAACACCCCTACTAGAATGCAATCTTGAGAGGAAGACACCCGTTTTGTAAAATATTACAGCTAGATGGAACCCCAGAGAGGATGTGGCCAATCTCCTTATGTTACGGCTGACTGAACTAAGACTCAGTAGCTAAGTGGTTTGTAAAAAGTCACGTACCTAATAAACTCAGGTTTCATGATTCCCAAGCCCAAGGTGCTTTTTTCTATCTCAAGCTGTCTTTACCACCATGCTGTCAAATTTATCTCTGTGTCTCTTTCATCATCTGGCCTGATGTTCTCCATGTACTAGACATCAGAATGGTGACAAGGGGAGGTCATCACTGAAGATGACCTCAAAAAGGGGCATGATATAGAAAATTCTGTGGAGATGAGTTGGCAGTGTTGCCTGCAGAGGGATGAAGACAACTTTGGCCAGGGCCTCCTCTAAAACTTTGAAGAACCCTTCTTAATATTACTTTTTTTATAAATGCATATTAACCCGATATAACTCTACTCTGCATGGAATGAATATATTCATTTTGTGGTAAGTAAAGTCTCAAATGCTATCACAAAGGCTCAAAGTCTTGGCTGGACTGAATGTACAGAGGCTGCAATTTTTAAAACTTGTGACAGACATGCAAATGCTGTACCCATGCACTTGTAGGCACTTAACAAATATTTAGTGGGTGTTGCTGAAAAAGGTCTTACTTTTATGGCCAGCTAAAACTCTCACCTGCTTTAATTTAAGCCTATTTTGTCTTCTTCTTATGTCACAGACACGGAGAAGAATTGATTTACACCTCTTTTATGATATCCCTTTGAATAATTCAATAATCTAACAGTCAATGTGAAAAACCCCACAAAGTCCCCATCTCTGATATAGATTAAAGCATATGCTAACATAGTTTGCCAATTCTAGGATTTTGCCAGGAAATGCCAAAATTTTAAAATAAAATTACTGAGAGCTATGTCAGATGTAGTGTACACATTAATTTGCAAAATTAAAAAAAAAGCTTCTTGCTTTTAAAAAACACCATTGCCAAACATTGATCAGACATTATAATATTCTTTAATTACCATGAGCCAGGTTCAAATATAATTCTAATCTATAAAATTTCTTTCATAACGTGAAAAATAAATGACCCAAAACAACAACAATAAAGAAAAACATGGCAAGGCCAGTTTGAATTGAAAAGCAATTGTTCCTAACTACCTAGAACTTTGAAACTGTAAAATAAAAAAGAATTTTTTGTAACAGGATCACCACCATGTGGAAAACAAGTTGAAAAAATAGATGGGTCACATATGTACTTACACTACGTATGTTAATTTGTCAGGGACGTGATTTTTTCAGAGTAGAAACTCCTTCAGCTAATGCAGACTTGAAACCATCTATAAGTTATTTTAAAGACTTCCTAGGGCTTATAAAGGTCAAGTTGTTTGCCCATGGCCCAACAGTCTATAAGGGAGAATTTGAACACAGTCCATCTTCCTGACTCCAAATCCAGCCCTTTATTTACTATGCTAGTCTATCACATAAAGTATATACTTTGCTTTATATGTGTATATTATTCATGTAAGTCAGTATCCATATATATTGTACATGCATACACACGTATACGTATATGCATGAATATGTGTGTGTGTGTGTGTGCATGTATGCAGTACCCTCTCCAGAGGTTACTTGGTTAGATACTCACGGAAAGACTGTAAGAAGGTTCCAGAATCACAGGTAATGACATCTTCCCTTGAAGATTCAATTTTGTTAAATAAAAAATTTTTTCCCCCACAATCTTTTCTTTTTTCATGCGACGTACACCATAGAGTCTAAACCGAACTGCATAATTTCCAATCATCTCAGATTCAACATGGTTAAACTTGAAGGTTTCTGTGAAGACAGGGCATGGCCCTCGCTGGACACTCGTCTTGGCTCTCTGTTTCTTTATGGGCAGAAGAACAAGGTGCACTTGCCAGCAGTTGCTGCCGGTCCTGTTATACATTGGGATGTCTGTGACAGCTGTCACTGTTACTAGGAGCTTCTGTTCTTGTGAGTCATAGTCAAAAGTCACATCCAGGGTGCCATATTTAGCTTCTGGCTCAGGATCAAAAGGTTTAGGAAGTTGTGAAGATGATCCTTGAGCTGACACATCCTAAGAAAAAGAAATTTAAATGTTTCAATTTTTAAGTCCTATTATCAATCTTTTAGAGAAATGTATGCATGACCTTTCTTAAGCCTGGTAATGTTAATATAGCCTTGATTAATTGCAATGAGAACAAAAAAGGACAAAAAGATACAGCCATGAGGCCAAGGTAGTTTACCTAAGTAATGAAGCTACTCTAAAATATTAGCCTTTAAAAAAATCAGAGAATTTTACATTTCAAAAATTCAACTTTCAAAAAGGAGGAAAGGAAAAATCTTCATAAATGGAAATATGTAAAATTTAGAAAACTTCCAAAGTTTACTTTCAAAACTATGAATATGTCTACTAGCTTATTATTAGCTGAGCTGAAAATTACAAGAAAGTGAAAGTATGGTACAATTTAGACTTATTTTTCAAGGACTGCTCTGAAATATCATTACTAATATGAAAAAATATCCAAGGCTTGAAAAATAAAGGAAATTTAATATGAAAGTATAAACATTTCAGTCCTAGAAAAATTTCCTTCAAACACTCTTTAAAGTGTAGATTATGGTTATTCCCAAATCATTTTCATTAGCAATTGTTAAAAACAAATAGCTTCATAAACTCATTATTGATAAGAGATTCTGAAATTCATAAAGATCCTATGGAAAAATTCAGTTTTACAAAGTTGCAGGAGAAGAATGAAACAAGTTTTATGAGCAAATAGAAGAAATCTTCCTGTTATTACACCCATTTTTCTCTTGAGGATTATCAATTACATGCCAATTCAACCACCCTAGGCATCCCAGGAATGTCAGATAGAACTGCTTGCCTTTCATGATTTTCCTCTAGCAACATCTGCAGGGAAGCATCCTGTCAGGCCTGACAGAAGTAGATGAGACTTCTTAGGAAAGGATGATCAAAAAAAGATATACCAATGTGTCCCTTTTGTCAGGGTCCTGTGACTGTTAACTGCCAGAGTTCCATAACTTCTGACACAGGTGCATCTGAGAAAGTGCATGTTTACTGAATAGGAAGCGCTCGTAAGGTTATTTTTATATACTTATTTAATATTTTATTTTCCCCCAATTACATGTAAAATAATTTTAAACATTAGTTTTTTAAAATTTGAGATCCAAGTTCTCTCCCTCCCATACTCCCCTCCCCACTCATTAAGAAGGCAAGCAATTTGACATAGGTTTTATACATGAAGATATGCAAAACATATTTCCATGTTAGTCATACTGTAAAAGAAAACACAGACCAAAAAAAAAAACAAAGAAAAATAAAGAAAGTAAAAAAAAATGTTTCAATCTGTATGCAGATTCAGTTCTTTCTCTGGAGATGGATAGCATTTTTCATCATAAGTCCTATGGAATTGTCTTGGATCATGTATTACTAAGAAGATCTATGTCATTCACAATTGATTATTGTACAATATTGCTGTTACTGTGTACAATGTTCTCCTGGTTCTGCTCATTTCACTTTACATCAGTTCATGCAAGTCTTTCCAAGCTTTTTCTGAGAGCATCCTATTTATCATTTCTTATAGTACAACAGCAATCTATCACCATCATATACTATAACTTGTTTAGCCATTCACCAAGTGATGGGCATTCTCTCAATGTCCAATTCTTTGCCACCACTAAAAGAGCTGCCATGCATATTCTGTACATAAAAGTCCATTTCCTTTTTATTTTTTTATCTCTTTGGGATACAGGCATAGTAGTGGTATTGCTTGGGTCAAAGGGTATGCATAGTTTTATAGCACCCATTGGGCATTGTTCCAAATTGCTCTCCAGAAAGGTGGAATCAGTTCACAAATCTACCAACAGTGCATTAATGTCTTAATTTTTCCACATCCCCTCTAACATTTGTCATTTTTTTTTCTATCATGTGAGCCAATCTGATAGGTAATAGGTATGGAGGAATGGTACCTCAGAGTTGTTTTAATTTGCATTTCTCTAATCAATAGTGATTTTTCATATAACTATAGTAGCTTTGATTACTTTATCTGAAAACTGCCTGTTCGTATGTTTTGATCATTTATCAATGACTCTTATTTTTATATATTTGATTCAGTTCTCTGCAAATTTAAGAAATGAAGCCTTTATGAGAGAAACTTGCTGTAAAGATTTTTTCAGTTATGATTACTGTGTATTTCCTTCCATCCTATTTTCCCCCTGTTTATCCTCTTCCCTCTTTCCTTTCACCCTGTCCATCCTCAAAAAAGAAAACATTTTACTTCTATTACCTCCCTTAATCCACCCTCCCTTCTATCAGCCTCTGCCCTTTATTTTATTCCTGTCCCTTCCTACTTCCCTGTAGGGTGAAATAGACTTCTATACTCAACTGAGTGTGTATGTTATTCTCTCTCTGAGTCAAGTCTGATAAATGTAAGATTCAGGCACTCGCCTACCCCAGATCCCCCATCTTCCTAACCACTATAAAAGTTCTTTCATGCCTCTTTAATGTGAGATAATTTACCTTATTCCACCTCTTCCTTTTCCCTTCTCTCAGTGCATTCCTTTTTCTCACTCCTATATTTTTTTAGATATCATCCCACCATAGTCAACTCATACTTGTGCCCTTTGTCTCTGTATATTATTTCTATCTGCCTGAATAATGACAGTTCTTAGAAGTTACAGATATCATCTTCCCATATAGGAATGTGAACAGCTTAACTTTATTAAGTCCCTTATGATTTATCTTTCCTATTCACCTTTTCATGCTTCTTCTGAGTATTGTATTTGAAAGTCAAATTTTCTATTCAGCTCTGGTCTTTTCATCAGGAATGTTTGAAAGTCCTATATTTCATTGAATACCCATACCCCTTCTCTCCCAAAGGATTATACTGCATTTTGCTGGGTAGATGATTCTTGGTTGTAATCCCAGCTCCTTTGCCCTCCAGAATAGCATATTCCAAAACTGTCTATTCCTTAATGTAGAAGCTGCTAAATCCTATGTAATTGTGACTGTGGCTCCACGACATCTGAATTGTTTCTTTCTGGCTGCTTGTACTATTTTCCCCTTGACTTGGGAACTCTAGAATTTGGCTATAATATTCCTGGGAGTTTTCATTTTGGGATTTATTTTAGGAAGTAATTGGTGGATTCTTTCAATTTCTATTTTACCCTCTGATTTTAGAATACCACGACAGTTTTCCTTGTTAATTTCTTGAAAATTATGCCTTTTTTTTTAAATCATGGCTTTTAGAAGGTTCAATAATTCTTAAATTATCTCTCTTTGGTCAATTTTCTGGGTGAGTTGTTTTTCCAATGAGACATTTTCTTCTATTTTTTTCATTCTTTTGATTTTGTTTTATTGTTTCCTGATTGCCTCATGGAGTCATTAACTTCCATTTACCCAATTCTAATTTTTAAGGAATTATTTTCTTCAGTGAGCTTTTATACTTCCTTTTCTATATGGCTCATTCTACTTTTTAAAAAGTTCTTTTCTTCAGTGAATTTTTGTACCTCTTTTTCTATGTGGCCACTTCTGCTTTTCAAGGAATTCTCCTCTTCCGTGGATTTTGTGCCTTTTTTACCACTTGGCCTATTCTGTTTTTAATATTTTCTTCACTATTTTTTGTGCCTCCTTTATCAAGCTATTGACTCTTTTAAAATGATTTTCTTATATCACTCTCATTTCTTTTCCCATTTTTTCCCCTTCTATCTCTCTTATCTGAATTTTAAATTCTTTTTGAGCTCTTCCAGGAATTCTTTTTGGGCCTGAGAACAATTTGAACTTTTCTTTGAGGCTTTGGATGTAGCAGTTTTGACTTTGTTGACTTCTTCTGAGTTTGTGTTTTGACCTTCCCTGTCACCACAGTAACTTTCTATGGTCAGGTTCTTTTTTTATTGTTTGCTCATTTTTCAGCCTATTTCTTGACTTTTAATTAAAGTTGAGCTCTGTTCCAGGAGTGGAGGGGGCACTGTCCCAAGCTTCAGGTTTTTTTTTTTTTGTGAGTGTGTGTGTAGCTGTTTTAAGAGCTAGTTCTGGGAATCTGTAAATTTTCCATTCTTCTAGGGTGGCATAATCTAAGGAGAGATGTGTTTACTACTTTCCTGGCCTGTGCTCTGCACAGTGAGTGACCACAAGCACTCTTTTCTACCCAGGAACTACGACCAGGGTCACCACTTCCCTGCTGCCATAAGCTATGGTGTGCTAGTGATCCTTCTCACCCTAAGACAATAATCCAGATCTACTTATGGGCAATGCAATGGAGTCCTGCACCCAATGCCAACAAATGAACCCTTGTAATCTCCTTCTGACCAGTTGTCCAGCCTCCTTCACATCTGTGGGCTGACAGCTCCAGAAGCCGCTGAAGCTAATTCAGTCACCCCCAAAGCTTGATGTTGATTTGCTGGAGTCTGCCTGCAGTGATGCAGCCTGTACTTGACTGTGCTCCACTCTCACCCATGTAGGACAGATCTTTTCTACTGACCTCCTAAGTTGTCTTGGTCTGGAAAACTGTTTCATTTCATCCTTCTGTGAGTTCTGCTGCTCCAGAATTGTTTTTGAGGTGTTATTTAAAGTTGTTTGGAGGGCCAGTAATGGTGAGTCTCTGCTTTTTCTCCATCAGCTTGGTTTCACCCCACTCATAAAATTTTAGCAAAGATGTAGCTGTTGAAGCTGTTATTTACTTTGTGACATAGAGTTTTTATTGTTCAGTTATTTCAGTTGTGTCTAACTCTTCATGACCCCATTTGGGATTTTCTTGGCAAAGATACTGAAGTGGTTTGCCTTCTCTCATTCATTTTATAGATGAGGAAACTGAGGCAAACAGGGTGAAGCAACTTTCCCAGTGTTAGCTAGTATGTGTCTGATTTGAAGTCAGAAAGATGAGTCTTCAGTCTCAATATTCTATTCACTACCCCACCTACCTGCTCCATGAGATAGAGCATTCATTGCCAAGACCTTTGATTAACTCTGCCTAAAACTCTAAGCAGATTACAATATAATCCAAAGCAAAAGACAGTCGCAGAAACATAGTCACAACACAAAGGAACACAGACACAGATTCCCCAGTATTACAAGTCTGTCAACACAAACACAGCCTATAATCACAGTATAAGGCCCACTCCTCATTTTTATTTGGGGCCTATATTTGATGCCAGAATAAGAGAGATGCTTGTATCTTCCTCTGGGCTCCTGGCAACAGATGTACCTTTGGTCTCCCAGAGCTCAATTGCTCTGCTTCCTTAGCCTCGTATGAATCTGAGAAATGATTCTATGAATAGTTAGCATCCAGAATTAAGGTGAGTGTAAAATAAATAAAAGTGCCTAATTAGGCACTTTAATAGAGATTTCAAAGTTTTACACCAGATTTTCTTTCCCATTAGTTTAGAACTTTTATTCAATCAGTTATCTGGGACAGTGGAAAAATTACCTTTTCCCTGATTTTATAATCTATATAATCTTATACTATAGATTCAGGGCTAGAAATTTCCTTAGGGAAAATTTAGATTTTCCAACTCTCATTTCACATATGAGGAAGCTGAGGTACTGAGAGGTGAGGTGGCTTACTCAAGTTCAGAAATCTCTGAAGTGGAGAGCTGTGATCTGAAGCCAGGTGTGAAGACTCCAAATCAAGTGATTTTCTCACTATACTAGGCAGCTCCTTTATATCAGGTCCTTGTGTTGTCTACATTGTAAAGCTCAGCTACTGCGAGGCTAAGCACTTGACAACTTAGTTTCAAAGCAGAATTTTCTCTCTCTCTCTCCACATACACACGCACATATACACGTGATACAAATATGTACACATACATATATAATGTATATACATACATATGTATGCATATATATGTGTATATATATATGTGTGTGTGTGTGTGTGTGTGTGTATAAACATATTTATCAGTTATTATTTCTTAGAGAACCCAGGTCTTATCACTCCTAGTCCACTGTCCTTTCCACATTTCAAGGGGTACTTTTAATTTATTTAGAAAATCATTCTCCAAATGTTAGTAGTCATCAATGTCCACAATGATACAGTTTTAATTTGTAATGGAAAATTGAAGACACTGGTTAGCAAGAATTAACTAAAACTAAAGTTGCAGTTGTGTTCCTATACAAAAGGAAAAAACAACAGCAACCACCAATTCTTTCCAAATGGTCTCGAAAATTTAATATGAACCCTCTACCTGTTCTCTTGCCTCAATTTGGTCTCAAAAATAAAAGAAATGCTGAAATATTCCCCAAATCAATTTTATCATAAATTCAAACCTTATAATGGAAATAAGGAGAATTAAACCCATTTATGTTGATGCAAAAATATAACTTTTGTTTTAAGCGTATTAAGTTGCTGTTGTTCATCCTGAGTCAGAAATACAATTCCCTCAAAAAAAATTACTCTAAATGATATCAATATACAAACATTACCAAAATTCACTATATCGAGGAACTAACATTCCTATTTTAAAGCTGAAATCATAATGTTGGCAAGTCTATTTATAAAATTTTGTCTTTTTCCCCCAACTACTCTCTTTTCAGCATTCCAAAATACTACAAGGATAAGATTTCCTGACAAGAAGTTAAGTGGCTTTGGTCAAGAGTGTAAAGACTACATTAAGGACAAGGTCAAATATACCCACAGCACTGCACTGTTACCCCAAAGACCACATGGAAACATTATGTACCCTTTTACTTACTTCTGGACTAAGAACAGCAGTACTGTCACTGGGCACATCCTCTTCATAGCCTTTATTATGAAAACTTTCTATTTCATGTCCTGCACTTCCTTCGCTTGGGCATTTATTGTATGAACATCTTGGACTGTTGCTACAGTGAGAAAATTCACATTTACTGTCACCAATTTCTGAAGGTGTACATGAGAGATGTGGAGAGCCACTGTCATCCTGATATGGTGGTGGCTGCAATTCATCCAGTGGAGGTGTTCTTCTCATTCTTTGAATGCAGTTTGCTGTGAATGAGTGAGAATTCTTGTTATACTTTCATTAGAGCTTTAATTTTTAATATAATATGTGGTAGATTTAGATGACCAAAAGATTTCATTGAAAAATTTCATATTATTTTGGACTACAATATTTATAGATATAATTTCTCCTCTGTTAATTCTGAGGAGAAATAAACCATCTCCTTCTAACCCTCTAAGCCTATAAAACAGAATCTGGGGAAATGACAAAATATTTTTTGTTCCACTGAAAAAGACAAAAGACATAATTAAGGACAAAAACAATGTTGAACCAACATATGGAGACCTGAGGGAACTCAGCATTACTAGTAGAACTGCTTTTTTTTCCCTTTATGGCTAAAAGCTCCTATTCCAACCCAAATGTACTTCAGATTTATAACCTGTTGTGTACATGCAAACTCATGTAAATCAGCAGCATCCTGACTCTGCACATGGGCTATGATTTTCAACTCTATGTTATTGCAGATCTGATAAACAATCATTCAATAAATACTTATTATTACTACTATGTGCCAGGCACTGTGCTAAGATCTAGAAATACAAAGAAATGCAAAAACACAGTTCCTGCCTTGCAGGAATTCACATTCTAAAGGGGAAGACAACACGTAAATAACTAGGAACATACAAGAGATATAAATAGAAGGCAATCTGAGAGGGAAGGCATTGTCTGTGGGAGGAACTGGCAAAAACCTCCTGCAGAAGATAAGACTGGAACGGAGTCATGAAGGAAGTCCTGAGGGAAGCCACAAGATGGAGGTGAAGTGGGATAGCCAGTGAGAAGGCACAGAATCAGGGGATGGCATGTCATACGAGAACAGCAAGAAGCATACTCTGGCTAGATCGTAGAATATATTGAGGAGAGTAAAGTATAAAAAAAGACTGGAAAGGAAGGAAGGGGCCAGGATGTGAGGGCTTTAAATGCTAAACAAAGGAGTTTATACTTGGATTCTAAAGCTAATAGGGAGCCACCAGTGTTACCTGGGGGAGGAGGGCTATGAAGAGACCTATGCCTTTAAAAGAAAATCCCTTTGGAAGCTAAGTGGAAGAAGGATTGGGGGCAGCAGGGAGATTCAAGGCAAGAAGACCTTAGAAGGCTATTGTAATAGTCCAGGTGTGAGGTGATGATGGCCCCTACCAGGGTGGCAGCTGTGAGAGATAGTATGAAGGTAGAAACAAGAAAACATGGCATCAGACTGGATACATGGTTTAAGTGTGAGTGTGAGCCTGGGTAACTGGGAGGATGGTGGTACCCTTGACAGTAATAGGACAGTTGGGAAGAGGACTGGGTTTGGAGCGAAAGGTAAGCATGACATCTATGCATTTATTCACATCATTGATTAAAATGTTATATAGCAGAAGGCCAAGTACAGATCACTGTAGCATTCTGATGAAGATCCTTAGCAAGCATCTGACTTAAATGCAGAATACAGAGAAGGCTGCCAAAGTCAGAAGTGGAATAGAATAAAAACCTTGTTGTATAAATCTTACAAGGAAGGATAACGGATGATTATAAGCAGTGTCATCTCATAAAGCAGAAGCAGTGGAAGGTAAAACCAATTTATTAAACTAAGCAAAGCCATCCCAAGGACACATAGGGATGAAGATGGAAGGAGTACAAGCAGAAGAAAAATGGAAAAGATTTATAAAAATCATTATGATAAACTGTTTTCTCCATCAAAGAAAGTGGAAATAGCACACTTGAAGCCTAACATCACAATCTAAGATTTGGTTAGAGAGGAATTAGAAATTACACTAAAGAGAACAAAGACAGGAAAGGTGTATGTACAGGAGATTCATGAAGGAGGTAACCTGTTTGAAATGTAGAGGGACTAATAATACAAAGTGTCTGAAGGAGGGGAAGATACTAAGTGTAGAAAAAATCTTGGGCCTTATTAATACTGAAAAAAGGCAAATAAAAGAACATAAACAACTACTGATCCCAGCTCTGTCATCTACCTAAAATCTTTATGATTATGATTATGAACTGAGGGTATCCTTGATGAGGTTGACAGCAAGAAATAAGGTGTTTTGTAAGTGATATTCAACATTGGACCACATCTTTATCATTTCCCAATTAACTGAAGATTTAGAAAATATAAAACTCCATTGTGTTTATTATTGGCTGATTATGAAAAAGTATTTGATTTGCAAGAACAAATGCCACTTTTTGGCTTTTTTACAGGAATATTTTTACTATTCATATATCAGAATTATTTAAGATTGCGTGGAAGATATAACAATAGAGTTAAACATGCCAAATAACCTTCAGCTAACAAACATGAGGTAAGACATGAAAAAGGTAGATATATGTTCACCAAATATATTCACCACTGTGATGAAGAAGATGCAGCACAAAGTCCAAGTCAGAGAGGATCCCTGTGGAATCCAGATGCTCCTGGTTGTAGAAGACATGCTGCTGATTTCATTGTATTCTAGAACATCAAGAGAGTCTCTTAGATCTGTAACAACTCAAAGGAGTATGGCCTGTCCAACCAGACAAGGAAGTAGACTAAAGTAGAAGAAAAATGTATATTGCATAGCTTGTAATATATACTGAATGAACACTCTCCAGAGCTTGTCTAGTAGTATACATATCTGGGTCAGATAACACAAATAGACAATGAGTTAGGCCTAAAGGCTGGATTGCCTTTGGGAAACTGCAAAGCTTTCTTACTGATCCTAAACCTCTCATGATAGCAAAGGCCCATCTTTTTCATACTAAGAGTCTGATTACGCAGCCAATCTTGGCAACTCTTGATTCTATGTGAAAGCAAAACAGAATACAAATGCCTTTAAAGAACTAAAAATTATCACACAGAGGGCAATTACCAGGCATGAGGTGAGTATGAGCTGGTTACCGCATAGAACCAATGAGAAATTCTGAAGAGGTATAAGACATGACTGAAGGACTGTTTAATAGGGAAAAAAAGATGGGCTGGTCACAGAGCAAGAACCAGAGATGATAGGCAGATAGCCAGAAGTGTTCCTTAGCTACAAATGAAGAATTAGGATTAAGTGTTGGAAGACCTTCAGCACAGGCAGTAGACTCCCTGGGGTGAACTTACTGCATGTGTTCCACAGGATGAGCAGATACAGATTGAGGTCTGCATAATTGGAGGAAATTTCCAAATCAGTGAGATCACAGATCCATTTGAGTACTATGATCATCATACCAATATTTCTCTAGGCTCTGCTCCCATTATTCTGTATTAGTGGATATAAGGTTTCTCTGAGTCCATCTGTCATTTGTTACATTACAATAATAATTCCATTAACATCTATATACCACAACTTGTTCAGTCATTCACCAATTGTGAGGTTCCTACTTTGTTTCCAGTTCTTTATTACAACAAAAATTGCTACTAAGAATATTTTTGCATACACGGGTCCTTTCCCTCTCTCTTTGATCTTCCTATAACATATGTCCAGGAGGGGGGAAACTTACATGAGTGCTACAGAACTTTGAAAAAATAAAATTTTTGAGCTTCTGGCTCAAAAGAAAAATGTTTTTTGCATATATTAGCATAACTATGTTTTGCTCACAGATCCCCAATTCTATTTAAAAGAAAGTAAATTCTTTAATTTATTATCTAATATCATTCACATAGCTTGTGAATCCTTTGTTAACATTATATCTGCTAAGAGACAGGGAATACTTTCTAATATTTAACTGAAATCTCTCCCTTTTAAGTCTATTTTTCTTATTCAGTTATATAGAGACAGAGCACTGGACAGCATCTACTTCTAACCTGACTGAAGAAGATAACTAACTAGCCCATTAACCTTTTACTCTTTTAAGTTTAATAGCCCCAATTCCCTTTAACTTTCCTTATAAACGTAAATTTCCACCCTTTATAGCCATTTTGGTTACTCTTCTCTACATATTCTCTAGTTCTACCACTTTTGTTTTCATTGTACATTGACTAAAATTAGGAATACTCCTCTAATAAAGTTCTCCTTATTGTAGGGGATAAAAGATAGGCAGGCAGATAGAAAGAGTATTAAGTACTTCCTACATACCAGACACTGTGTTAAGTACTGGAGATATAAATACATGCAAGCAAATCAGTCTTTGTCCTTAAGGAGTTAATATTCTAATGAACAACATAATGATTACTAGTCAACCCTTGCATGACATAACCATTTTAACACACTCAATAACATACTGAATAATTTGCAAACCCGTTGTAGTTGTTCCATTGTTTCAGTCATGTCTGACGCTTTGTGACCCTATTTGGAGTCTTCTTGACAAAGATACTGGAGTGATTTATCATTTCCTTCTCCAGCTCATTTTACAGATGAGGAAACTGAGGCAAACAGGCTTATGTGACCTGCCCAGGATCACACAGCTAGTAAGAGTCTAAGACTGGATTTGAACTCAGGAAGATCAGTCTTCTTGGTAACCAGCCCAGTGCTCTATTCACTCTGACACCTAGCTGCTCCAATGCCTGGATTTATTTCTCTTCTATAGTAATTCTGTAAAGATTTTTAAAAAACACATAGCTAGCCAATAAGAACATCAGAAGACTGTATCACAAACATAAAAATATCAACAGCTTGCACTCTTTCTTGTGTGTAGAATTTCCGATTGTGTGTATATGAATACGTGTGGCATATATGCATTTATGCATATATGCATAAATATCCCACATGTTAAGGATTGATGATTATCCCATGAAAGTGTACAACAATCTGATATCTGAGCAGAAGAGGAAATGCACATGACAGACTCACTTCCAAGTTAAGGTGAGAAAATTCTTTAATCTCAGAGGTGGAAGGGAACTCAAAAGTGATCTAGTCCAGTATATGGATAAAGTATAAATCCCTTTCCTTGTTTATACCTTAGTTCAGCACATCCACCCTATCATGTTGACCTTTCTCTTTCCTTTGTAGAGAGAAATACCTTCAAATCTGACCTCCAATACTTCCTAGATGGGCACTTTATGAGCAAGTCACTTGACTTCTCTCATACTGGGAAAATAACAAAT